CCCGCGTCCGCCGCGCTCCGGCCGTGGCCCACCGGCCCGCGAGCTCCGCAGCAGCCACGTCGTGCCACAAACCCTAGTCTGGCCGCGGCTCCCGCTTCCAGAAAGCCACGCGCAGCAGGCGCCACGGGGCAGCCCGGTTGCCCGGGTCCTCCCTGGAAAAAGGCCGTCGCTATGGAGACGCGGCGCGTGCCGGCGGCCGTTTAGAGGGGGAGGCGCAGCCTGTAAGTGGTTTCCGCCGCGATCGCGGCTCCCGGCAGCCGGTGGCACTGACCGGCGTACGATGCTCCGGCCAGATCGCAGCCCCAGCCCTCGTGAGCAGTGCGCCGGGTTCGAGGAACCTTAAGAGACGTACCTCCCTTGGTGATGGCGCGGGGCGGGGCCAGAGGTTGTCCGTGCCCGTCAGAGACATCCGCTTCCGGGGCCACGGCCGTCGGACTGAGGGGCTCGGCAGGTCGGCCAGGCTGCGTTCGGTTTCTCAACCCGCAAGCTACACTCCTTAAGAATCAGCTACCCTTGCTTCCTTGTCGATCTTCTCCGCCAATCATGCTGGAACATCTGAGTTCGCTGCCCACCCAGATGGTGAGGACGCGCGTCCTAGGTCCCCGCACGCCACTTAGGAGCCTAGCTGCTTCCCAAACCCCGCTGGAATACATACCGACCGGTGCTGCGTGGTTCGCATCCCCAAAGATTGCCGTAACTTCCCCCTACTAGGACCTCTTCTCTTCCCCAGAAAGGATTCCCTTCCCCAGGCTCCGTTAAGATGCCTAAAGTTTCCCCGAAAATCAAAATTTTGCTTCCTCACTCGGGCCCTTCTGGGAAACTCCTGGTGTTGAATGCTGCCCTGTGCCAACACTGAGTTCCCCACAAGAACTGCAGTCTTTTGGTAGTGAGACCAACTCTGCCCCTTCTCTTTCGTCCCTAGGATTACAAGGGCCAGAAGCTAGCCGAACAGATGTTTCAGGGAATTATTCTTTCTTCTGCAGTAAGTATTGCTTTTACTTTTAATCTTGTAATCCCGTCTCCCTCGGTTTGACTGTATTTAATAGACGTGGTTTCTTTTCAGGTAGTTGGGTTTATCTACGGGTACGTGGCTGAACAGTTTGGGTGGACTGTCTACATAGTTATGGCCGGATTTGCTTTCTCGTGTTTGGTAAGAAATTTGTGGGTGTTTATTAGCAGCAACATAAATTTTCTGAGTTGGGAAACTTGGTTGGACCTAGTAGTGAGAACCAGAATCAGCTTTTTCTTCATCTTTCCCATTAATGTTTCTGCTTTCTGTTACTGGAAAAGTAGAATGTTAAATAACGTCAGCTGGTTTGAGCTGCACAGAAGAGCAGAGTTTCTAATTTCCTCTCGCAGCTTACCACAGGCAGTAAGATAAAATATGGCAGGGGTTTCCTGCTGTGCTCACTGCTTCCGTCTTTCTTTTCGTTCTTAAAACTGTGAACACTTAAGGCTTGTTCTCACCACCTGCCGGATCTTGTCTGGTCAGTTTGTTCTTTAGCATGGTGGTTATTTGGGGACCAGACATTATACATAATGATCTTTGAAACTTTGCGTGGAAATACATGCTGCCTTTTCTCCTTTCTGATCTAGCTGACACTTCCTCCATGGCCTATCTATCGCCGACATCCCCTGAAGTGGTTACCTGTTCAAGACTCAGGGCCAGAAGACAAGAAATCATCGGGGGACAGAAAAATGAAGAGACATGCCAAAAATAATTGATTGGCGCTTTCACTATTCAAGTCATATTTTAACTTATAACTGTTTTATACCATCTCTTCATAATCTTGTTATGGAGAACAGGAATATAAGTATGCAATGCTTCTTTCAGGTGTACATGATGAATAAACACCTCATAACTGCTAGCACTTTTTTTTCTAATAGAGTTTTGCAATAGGTTATCACTATGTAGACCAGGCTGTCTCCAAGCTCAAAACCCCTGCTTCAGCTTCCCAAACTGCTAGGATTACAGGCATATGCTACCACACCTGGCTTGATAGTCCAATTTGGTTTTTTTGGTTTTGGTTTTGGTTTTGGTTTTGGTTTTTTTCGAGACAGGGTTTCTCTGTGTAGCTTTGCGCCTTTCCTGAATCTTGCTTTGTAGACCAGGCTGGCCTTGAACTCACAGAGATCCTCCTGGCTCGGCCTCCCGAGTGTTGGGATTAAAGGTGTGTGCCACCACTGCCGAGCTGATAGTCCAATTTGTAACTATCAAAGTTTCACAATTCATTATGAGTCATTGAACTGTTTTAATGGTGGGTTTGCTGGTGGTATGGTAGTTTTTTTTTTTTTGAGATAAGGTCTTTCTGCCTGGCCCTGGATGTCCTGGAACTCTCTATGTAGACTAGGCTGGCCTTGAACTCACAGAGTTCCACCTGCCTTCACCTCCCAAGTACTGGAATTAAAGGCATGCTGCACCATGCCTAGCTCAAATGCTATCAATTAAAACTCATGGTGCAGTTCTGTGTCTGAACTTCAGTTGGTTATTTTGCAAAACTTGTATAAGAAGCCTAAGTTAGATGTTTATGTTTAGAAAACATTAAGCATCATCTTTTTCTGTCACTACAAGTTCGTAGATGTTTTTAAATTCACACTTTTTATTTAAAAAGTTTTATTTCATGTGTGTGCATGTTGAGGTCAGAAGACAGTTTGCAGGCATTGGTTATCTCTACACCATCTGGGTCCTGGAGCTGGAACTCCATGCTTCTACCAGCTGAGCAGGATCAACAACCTCTTTGGCTCTCTTCCACTGTTTTTTTTTTTCATTTTGAACATTTATCTGTATGTATTGTGTGTGGGCCCACATGTAGAGATCAGAGAACAGATGTGGGAGTCAGTTCTTTCCTTCTGTGTAGGTCCCAGGGACTGAACTCGGGTTGTTAGTCTTGGCAGCAAGAGCTTTTGCCAGCAGAGCCATTTCACAAGACACCCCCCCCCACACACACACACACAGTTCTTTTTAAATTTTTATTTAATTTTTAAATAATCCTGATTGTTGGAGAGGAAGAGGTTTCAGGCTTAGAGACCCCCCAGGAAGCCATCAGAGTCCACAGCCAGGTGGCTATGGGCAGGACTGAGAGCCTAGCCCACCCAGATGTATCTGGGTGCCTCCATCCCATTATACTGGAGCCCCAGACCCATGGTGGCCAACCTAGCCAACAGCCCAGGGAGGAAGCAAGCCTGAGGTGAGGAGAAAGAATAAAAACAAGGCCTGGGAGAGGGGAAGGGTGGGCAGTAAGTTCTTAACAGCAAACACCTCTGAGAAACTTACCAATGTGAATCTGTAGTAAAATAGCACTTTGGCACCTCTGAAACAAGAGCATTTAAGCATTTTAAACGTGTGTGCTTGAGGGAGACCAAAGTCCTAACTATAAAGCTGGACATTCCTTTTAATATTTCCAAAGGACTGAAAAGAAAAATGTGCTTAAAGGTCTCATATTAGGAGTAGATGTGGAAGAATTATTAAAAGCAGTGTTGTATTTCTCAGGACTTCCCTTATTATGAGTTTAACATCAGCAAAGACCCTAATTCAACAAACCCAGAAAAGATTCTTTTAAAGGAAAATTAAGACAGATGAGGCATATTGTTAAGTATAATAAATGTGATTGAAAACTTAGAAACTGGGTTAGAGAGATGGCTCAGAGGTTAAGAGCACTGGCTGCTTTTCCAGAGGTCCTGAGTTCAATTTCTGTCAACCACATGGTGGCTCACAACCGTCTGTAATGAGATCTGGTGCCCTCTTCTGGCCTTCAGGCATACATGCAGACAGAACACTGTATACATAATAAAGAAATCTTTAAAAGATCAAAAAGGAAGGAAGAGAGAGAGAGAAGAAAGAAAGGAAAAGAAAGAGAAAATCTAGAAACTGTCAGGCAGGGGTGGTGCACACTTTTAATCCCAGTACTCAGGAGGCAGAGGCAGGTGGATCTCTGTGAGTTCAAGGCCAGCCTGGTCTACAGAGTGAGTTCCAAGACAGGCACCAAAACTACACAGAGAAACCCTGTCTCAAAAAAGAAAAAAAAAAGAAAAATGAAACAAAAGTTAGAAACTATCAGATAGAGTTAAAAATCAAGAGAACTGGAGAGATGCTCAGTGGTTAAGAGCACTGGCTGCTCTTCCCAAGGACCCAGGTTCAATTCCCAGCACCCACATGGCAGCTCACAACTGTAACTCCCAATACCAGGGAATCCAACACCCTCAGATATACATGCAAGCAAAACACCAATGTACATAGGGGGAAAAATCTATTTACTTCAAGGTCTTGAAATAACAAGGATGATAACAAGAACAAAGATGTATTAGGCAAAGGGAGAAAGTAGGGTAAATGGTGAAAAACGTAAGAATTATTAGGGGTTGGAGACATGGCTTCACAGTTAAGACCACCAGGTTCAATCCCCGGCACCCACATGGGGCTCACAACCATCTAATATTCTAGTTCCAGGGAATCCGGCTCCCTCTTTTGACCTCTGTGGGCACAGGGCATGCACGTGGTGCACAGACATTGATGCAGGGAAAATAAGAATACACATAAAATACATGAATCTTAAAAAATACTTTGCAGCCAGGCAGTGGTGGCACATGTCTTTAATCCCAGCACTCAGGAGGCAGAGGTAGGTGGATCTCTGTGAGCTCGAGGCCAGCCTGGGCTACTGAGCGAGTTCCAGGACAGCCAAGGCTTTCCAGAAACTCTGTCTCAAAAAACAAACAAAACAAAAAAATTAAAGAAAGTGCCAGGCAGTGGTGGCACATGCCTTTAATCTCAGCACTTGGGAGGCAGAGCCAGGTGGATCTCTGTGAGTTCGAGGCCAGGCTGGTCTACAGAGTGAGATCCAGGAAGGCACCAAAACTACACAGACAGAAACCCTGCCTCAAAACAAAACAAAAATTAGAGAAAGAATCAGAATTAATAGTTTAGAAACCAGCATCAATGGATTATCACATCAAAGTGATACATAGAAAAACAGTAAGAAAATGCAATATATATATATATATATATATATATATATGAGATTTTTTACTCTTAACTGTGTACATGTGTCTGGATGGAGGTGTGTGCATTAGGAGTCCAGGTGCCTCTAGAGACCAAAGGCATCAGGTCCCAGGTGTAAGCCACCTGATGTCAGGGTGCTGAAAATCAAATCTGGGTGCTTGGCAAGAGTAGTATATTCTCAGCTGCTGAGATATCTCTCTGTGGACTCTTAGCTTTTTAATTACATGTACATTGATTTGTGTATTATGTGTAGGCAGGTGCACCACAGCATGAATGTGGAGGTCAGAGGACAGCTTGCAAAGGTCAGTTCTCAACCATGTGGGTCCAAGGGGTCAAACTCAGGCCATCAGACTTGTACTTACTTAACCATTTCTCTGGCTCAAGAATACATTTTAAAATGAAGATGGAAACTTAGTGAATGTTTAAATAACAATATAGAGAAAAAAATTTTAAAAACAATGTGGAAATATGAAAACGACATTATTTTTTTGAGACAGGGCCTGGAGCTCACTACACAACCAGGCTGGCCTAGAATTCCAAGAGCTCCAGCATCTGCTTCCCAAGCACTGGGATTAAAGGTGCGCACCACCACACCTGGCTTAGTGGTTTGGTTCTGTTAAATGGGAGAATTTTTTCTTTAAAGCTAGGAAGGTAATTGTAATACATTTATGCCAGTAAGTGAGAAATAAGACTGACCAGAAAGACGTAGGGTTCTAGAACTTTTAAGAAATGACCAGCTCGCTGGGCGGTGGTGGCGCACGCCTTTAATCCCAGCACTCGGGAGGCAGAGGCAAGCGGATCTCTGTGAGTTCAAGACCAGCCTGGCCTACAGAGTGAGTTCCAAGAAAGGCACAAAGCTGCAGAGAGAAACCCTGTCTCGGAAAACCAAAAGGAAGGAAGGGAGGGAGGGAGGGAAGGAGGGAGGGA